ACACGCACACCCCACACCCACACCCTTACTTTGCCGTTCTCCGTTCTATTGCATCAACACTTTAACTGTTCGCTAACAGAGAGAGGGAGACATCTAGTTTACTTTACTTCTTTCTTTTAGTCAATTATTCCGATAGTTGCCGGAGCTTTCACAGAAGCAACAGGATAAAAAAAGCTGCTTTGTTTTTCTTTTTCAGTTAGTTATTCTGAGAATTGCTCTTTATTTTTCCGTGAACAACTTAACGGAGAAACGGAGAACGGTAGTTTAGTTTACTTCTTTTTTAATCTGCTTATTCCTATAGTTGTCGGAGATTTTACGGAAACAATAGGATGAAAAAAACTATTTTCTTTTTCTGTTTTCAGTTGGTTATTCCGAGAATCGCTCGCCATTTTGCTGAGAAAAACCCAAGGGGGAAAAAGCGGATCCTCGGATCCTCGGATCCTTTGGATCCTCTGGATCCTTTTGGATCCTTTTGGATCCTCTTGGATTCTTTGAGATCCTTTTGGATCCTAGGATCTCAAAGGATCCAAAAGGATCCAAACTGGGATCCAAAAGGATCCGGAGGATCCAAGAGGATCCAAAAGGATCCAGAGGATCCAAGGATCCGAGGATCCGCTTTTTCCTCCTTGGAAAAACCTGAAAGGTTAATTGTGTTTAATTTTTGTCTTTCATCATTGGGTTATTCTGAAAAAGAACACGCGTTTCATAATACGAACAATTGAATAACTTAATTTCGTGCTCTTTTTTTTCTAATAATTAGGTCCCTGCTTTGTCTACTTAATCTCAGAGAAATGTGAAAATGTAGTTTAATTTCTTTTCCTTTGTTCCTTTATCCTGCAAAGTCTTGTGCTTTCCATAGTGGAAATTTAATTAGAAAATTAACCTTACTTTGTTTTCCTTCATTTGCTTATTCTGAGAGTTGCCAAATATCATATTAGAATGAACCGAATAAGTTGGTTTTGTTTTGCTGTATTAATTCGGACGGCAATTTTCATGGTTCTTAGGACAGAAATAGAATAAATTAGTTTCTTTTTCTCGATTTAGATCGAGCTAGTATTTGACAAGCATTTCAAGCAACGAATAACATAAAATTAGCTTATATATGTTTGCTGTTTGTAATTTGCTTCCATCACATTTATCAGTAGTGTCAAATTTTAAAGTTGAATTCAAGTATTAAGGGTAATTTCAGATATGGGTGTGCGTGTGGGTGGGTGTGAGTGTGGATTTGGGTGGGTGGCTGTGAGTGTGGATGTGGGTGGGTGGCTGTGGGTGTGGGTGTGGGTGTGGGTGTGGGTGGGTGTGGGTGTGGGTGTGGATGTGAGTGGGTGGGTGTGGGTGTGGATGTGAGCGGGTGGGTGTGGATGTAGCTCTTCTCTCACCCACACCCACACCCAGACCCAGACCCACATTCTACACCCCACACCCATACCCACCCACACCCACACCCACCAACACCCACACCCACACCCACACCCACACCCACACCCACACCCACCCATACCCACACCCACACAACACACCCAAAATAAATAATACGAGTTTAAGTCGTGGAACGAAGCAATCAGTGTTTCTGGTGGATTGCAGCTAGAATTCAAAACAATTTTATATCCTGATGAAATTTAAAATAGAAATTTACTAGCGCCTCAGATGATAAATTTAATTTTGCTGTCAAAAGGCTGTAGTGATAAGTGATTCCGATTAATATCTCAAGGCATAAGCTCATTTTTCTAGGAAATTCAAAAAAACTGAGATCATGAAAAATCCACTGCAACAACTATGAAACTGCTGCGGATGCATAAATTCAGTCAGAAAATTCATTTTTATATGTAAATTCTCATGGAAATAATATGTTTATAAGCTCAGTCTCCTTGATTTCAGTTTGTTAATACAATATATCTGATCCAAGTGCAGGAGACAAATCATTCCTATACTTTCTGACTGGATATATGGGAAAAGTTCCCTGCGAATTTCAAAGATACGATAACGTTCTCAATCTATCATTAAACTTCACTTCTGAATGCTTTCAAGATTTTGCAACACTTGTGCTTTGTGCAACATCTATCACTTTCACACATCTACCCTTGACCATGTTCGCTAGCCTACACGAAAAAGCAGCCTAGAGCTCGAAATCTAAATTCTACTCGAAAGCCATAATTCGAGAAAAAAACTATAAACATGCTGCTTCTGCTACCAATTTTAACGTTCTACTTTTCAAACTTCAAATCTTCAGATCATTTTTTCTAACGTCTAGTTCACGGCCAAGACGACCACCAAACCCAACCCACATCTCGCTCTGTCCTTCCCCACATCGTCTACCCCAACCCACACCCACACACCCACACCCACCCACACTCACCCACACTCACACCCATACCGACCCACACCAACACCCACACCCACCCATACCCACCCACAAATTTTATTAAACAAGCGAGTTATGAAGAATTGAAAAGAATAGATTAGATCGTATCAAATTGTTTTAGATATAGAGAAACTGTAGAATATCTGTTAAATATCTGGTAGAGTTTTTCTTGATTGATTTTGGATGGTTTGATAATACATTAGTGATCAAAGGAAAGTGATTGGTATATTTCAAGATTTTCTTTAAGTTTCGATGATTACTTGTGCCTTTAATTGATATTAAATTTTCTTAATAGCTGTTTTATACGAAATAAACTAAAATTACCTATGCTATATTGAAAAATTTCATGAAAAGCATCTACGAAACACTGCAACCTTTAGGCTATGTAATTGTCCTTATGTATATTTCAAAATTCGACTTAATTTTGGTTCGACCAGAAAAAAGTTTTGCTTTGTATTGAATCAATAATCGTAGTATAAAAAAAAAACATCGTAAATGTGCTTCGTCATTCCATCTTTCGATAAGAGGACGCAAACGAAATCTGATAAACATGAAAACAGGTATCACATGCTTTTTTTTTTCTTTAGTGAGATGAGGCAATGATGCATATGTATTGCACAATGTTTGCTAAATGACGGCATTGACGTCTCAGATTACATACACGAGAGAGAAAAAAACCAAGTATAGAAAAGTTTTATCCTATGATTTTGCCGTGCCAACTGTTCAAGGTCAGCGAGTGTGAAACATTGGTTCATCAAAGTAGACAGATTGTGTTCAAAAGCTGATCGAAGATCTCAACAAACGTAGCTAATGGCATTTTGTTTTTCTCCTTTCAACGAAGAAAATGAAATAAAATGCAACTAGTTAAAATTAAATAGCAATTCATTTTCTCAAACTTGAGTACCGTCGAATTAATTCTGGAAAGTATGTTCGTATCTAGTCAACTCAGATCGAGATAAAAAATGTCTAAAAGAGTCGAATCAGGTCGTGAAGCTCTTATCTATGTCAGACACTAATATATTCATCATTTACTCATCCGTGTTAGATTGTCATGACCGGTATCTTTTTTTCAGATGAGGTTGTTATAGAACTTTCCTTGCTATCAGCTTTACTATATGAATGCCCGTAGGTTTCTCTTGTTGTCGGCAATGAGTCATACACTTTTCTTTTTGATCATAATTTTTGTCTCATCCATATTCGATCGTGATTAATATTTAAATTCACACTAATAAGATGTTCTTTTAATTTATTGGTCATTTGACATCTACTTTATTGAAAGAAGCTAAGCAGTAACACACAGAGTCATACTTCATACAGAAAGGCATGATTATTTCATATTCTTATTCTTCATTAGTTTTAGCATGTTGTCTACACTTGATTGCATGTTTTAAATCAGTAAAATAACTATCTCAATATTCTTTACAAAGAAATTGAAGCATGAAGTCAGTGTCTTAGTTAATTGTTTTCGGTTTTCGTTCTTTGAAAAGTGACTTTTCAATAGAATAATCTTGAAATTCGCGATCTTTGTACAGATGATAAATAAAATTAATAATATGAGAACGAGTTGGCGAAAACCAAATTCCTTCTTTTATTAAAATCGTTAAAGCGATTGTTTGTAGATTTTCAACGTGCAATAATTTTATCATGAAAATTCAAAACGTGGTGCTTGAAATAAGCACAGACATTATTCAGAGAAGTCGATATGATGTCATCATTAAATATAGTTTAACAAATATGATTGAAAGTGAAATGATGCATGAGCTTTACTAATATACACTAAATCTATAGTTGGTGCATAGACACAAATGATCTACTGATAAAGCAAAATTAAGGTACTTCTTGAATAGAAATCAAAATCAGCAACAAATAAGTGCTTAAGGAATGAATTCGGAAACAAAACTTCGATGGATTTTTAACGGAACTAACTCGAAATTAATTAGAAGGAAACTAGTTCACTAAAATTTTACATGGACTTAGGCATGTGTTACTTTATATACTCTATAAGACTTTCTCAATCATCCTTATAATTTTTTATTTGATTATTATGTCACTTACTAAAGTCATTGCACAATGTTTCTGCTTTATATATTTTTTTCTTTCTTTAATGTGAGATTAGTCATATTCTAACTCTTTTGGTTCTGTTGGTATTTGTTCATCGTTTATAGAATTTTCCTTCTCGTTATTTATGGAATTTTCCAAGTAAGGAAACTTCCATCTTGCTCATGCCTATATATAGCTGTTATTTTTGTGTTGTACGAGAATGGCAGGCGAGCTTAGTTAGATAATCATAAAATCTGTTGGATTTAACTTCATAAATATTGACTTTAGTTTATCGTAAATCAGAGATAACCTCGAAGTTAAATTTCGCAGCATTATTTGCTATTAAAAGTAAGTGACAATTACTTATTTAAATGAAAAATATTTTTATTGGAATCTAGCGGTAATAACAAGACAATCGAGAAAACATTCTTTTATTGTTTTTCATCTTTTACAAAGTTGGAATAGTTTTTTTTCTTTAAAACACAGAAGAAGTTCTGTTTGAAGTGATAAAACAGAATTTTCATAGTTAATCAGGTTTAAATGTTAATCTAATAATTTTACTACAATTTCAGATTTTTTGCGTACAGATTCATAGAAAATGGGTAATTCTTTCAGTGTCCAAAATCAAAATAATATTAATGATTCTAATTTGAACAACCCAAGCAATATAAAGCATAATACAAACTATGACACTCCTACAGCTATCAATATATTACAAGCATTATTTGAAAGTGAAAATTATTGTTTCAATTCATTTTCATCAAATGATCATGGTAAAATTGTTAAAGAAATAATTGAAAATTCTCAACGACAAGAACAAACAACAACTATAGAATTGAAAGGCGATCCTATCTTAAATGAATTCGTCAATGATCTATATACAATCTTCAGTAGTTATCCTTCTGTTGATAATATAAATCATGCTACTGATAGAGGTATGGTTAAATATGAAATCTATTCAATTCAATCTTTAAATTCATTATCTTCTTCAACAACTAATAAACAATCTAAATCAATATGGCTACCGAAATCTATGACTATTGGTGAAGCTCATCGTATATTATCTACCATATTATATAGTGATAATACTGATACAATACCTGTTGATCTTGCTGATTATGTATTAGTATATGAAAATATAATGATTTCATTAGAAAATGACAAAAAAGAATTATATGAAGAAATTTTGAAACTTTCATTTCGATTGAATCGAGTTGCATTACCACCATTTCGATTGTTAGTTATTCATAAATCTAAATTATTATTATTAGAACGTAAAGAATCAAAACCATTATTAATGGATAATGGAACCATTTCAGTTTTACAATTAATTATGTTTCATTTACTTACTAATACTATAAATCAATTAGAAAATGAAAATTCTGATTATAATAAAACTATTAGTACTATCCGTAAGGATCAAGATCATGAATATTGGCCAATTACTGAAATTAAAATGGGAATTATTCCTTCGTCACAATTAATTCATCCATTAAAGTATAATAAACTATGTCAACATATTGCTAAAATTATTCAAACGAATAATTTATCGGAAGATATTAAAAGGAATGTAGAGAATTGCTTTAAATTACTAGAAAAAATATTTATTTCAGTTGGTGCTGATGAATCACACATTAAATTTGTAACAACGGCTATGTCCAAATTAGTCCCAGTATATGATTATCCATTATTAATAGCATTACCTTATGACCGCTTATTATTAACACAATTTTATAAAATAAGATGTATTGATGATCGATATGCTCAAGGAATTATGGCTAATGGAAAGTATTTTTCATTGAATAACAACGCTTATACTCCAATGTTGGAATTAGGAATTAATCCTGGTTCTATCATTCAATTGAAGTTTAATATTCAACCTGATACTATCGTTCATGGAAATCTATTCGTTTCTCAGGTTAATGATACAAAAATTACTGACCATTGTCAAAATATATCAGGTATCAAGACAAATAAATTTGCTATAACACAGTACGAACTTTCAGCTGAATTTGATAATAATGCAGTTAATTTAATGTTTCCAACTAAAGCCATTAATGTGCTTAAATCTGCTGAAGAATTAAAACAAAAATCAAATAAAGATAAATCAAAAGCAAGTATTATTTCTGAAAAACATCCTGTGATGAATTACTTAAGATCAAATTTAAAATCGTCAAGTAATTGGATTCATTCATCAACAAAAATAAATGAATCAATACAGCAAATAGAGAAACTAAATATTGAGAAAACAAATCCAAATCAAACAACTCAAAATATACCTTCAAATGGAAATAGTTTAGCTCAAGCAATTCAAACTACTACTAGTTCAGCCACATTAATTAATAAACCGTCAACTTCTTCCTTACCTTTCATAGATAAACCTGAATGTTTAAATTGTTTATCACAACTCAATGATGATAATTTGGAATGTCCACATTGTACACAAGTATTTTGCCGAATATGTATTGAATCTAGTTGTGATAATACAAATCATGAACATTATTGTCCAACATGTTCCAATAAAGTTAAATTATCAGAATATCGTAAATCAAAAATTATTGACAAATTTGAAACAGAAGGTATATCGGCATTTGAATGTTTCATTTGTCATTCAATACCAGAAAAACATAGATTATGTCTTGATCCAAATTGTTCAGCTTTATTTTGTTACGATTGTTGGGAAAAAAGCAATGATAAAAACATATTAAACACTAACCAAGATTCCGATTCTACTGGAAAATTTAAATGTCTTCAATGTAAAAAAGCTGATGTGTATGAAAGTAATGCTGTTATGTATTATTCTTGTCGAGTTATTGAATATCAAATAGCAGAAGAAGTTGAATCAAAATCAGTAGTAAGTAAATCATTACCAAATACGGCATGGAAAAAAGAAGATTACTTACCCGAAAAAGGAACGTTAGAAGAAAATCATAATCGAATTGTATCAGTTATTCATTTCAATGATAGTCATATTCAATTTAGTGATAAAAAAGAAGATTGTCCACTATTAATAATAAATGAACCACCTGAATATACATGTCCTGAAAGTCTTCGATTGAGTTATTGGAACACTGAAAATGAAATAAATCGTTGGGAAGATGATAAAAACGTTCAATTTTATTCATACAATCAGAATTCAAATGCAGTCTATAAACTGCATTTTACAAGTTTTACTGCTCGTAATAATCGATTTGAAGAACGCATTATGTTAGATAAAGCGTTTTTTGACACAACTTACGATTATGATTTTACAAAAAAAAATGATGCTGGTAGAACTTTTCAACGCGGTCCAGAACCTTATACACGACCATGTGGATGGTATAGAAAAGCTATTAAAGTGCTTGGAAAATATGAAAATGCTGAATGGTTAGGAACAGGTACAGATGCATGGCCTGTAGGGTTTACACGATTTACTGCCGTGAGATTTACTGCCGTGTAAACATTTGTTTACAAATAGATCTTTTTTTCATAAGAAGTTATATGATTAAGTTCGATAAGTCTAATGATCACAATCAAATATTTTATTTTGTTTCCTATGTCAAAAGTTTATTTTTCATGTCAAACGTTCGTAACAATCTATTAAAATCTAACTACAGTTCGTAATGAGCTGTTCGAAAAAAACTTATTCTATGTCAAAAGTTTATGTTTCATGTCAAACGTTGGTAAAAATCTATTAAAATCTAACTATAGTTCGTAATGAACTTTTCGAAAAAATCTTATTCTATGTCAAAAGTGTATTTTTCATGTCAAAGGTTCGTAAAAATCTATTAAAATCTAACTATAGTTCGTAATGAACTTTTCGAAAAAAACTTATTCTATGTCAAAAGTTTATTTTTCATGTCAAACGCTGGTAAAAATCTATTAAAATCTAACTATAGTTCGTAATGAACTCTTCGAAAAAAACTTATTTTATATCAAAAGTTTATTTTTCATGTCAAACGTTGGTAAAAATCTATTAAAATCCAACTATAGTTCGTAATCAACTTTTCGAAAAAAACTTATTCTATGTCA